ACGCACGCACACACACACACACAAACTCCTCACAAAACACAAAACATGCACACACTTTCATGGACACACCTACACAAAGAAAATAATTTTTAAGGCAGACAAATGTTTTGAAAAGACACTTCGCCATAGAAGTTATAGAGATGACCAATAAAGACTTGCCAGTGTCATTAGTCATAAGAAAAATGAAAATCAAGTGACTACACGTAGCTATAAGATGGCTAAAGATGAAAAACCTGATTGTGTCAGGGGTCAGTGAGAATGTCAGGGGGAGGATATGGAACTCTCGTGCCCTGCTGGTGGGAATACATGGTGGAATGGCTACTTTGACAAACAACAGTCCCTGAAATGTTCAACAGTCCCTTCCCGTAAGATCCAACCATTTCCTGAGATAAATGGAGGCATATGTCCATGCAGAGATTCATACATGGAGATTCATGGCAGCCTTATCAATAAAGTAGAAGGCAGGAGGCAGACCAGTTGCCCGCCAGCAGCTGCCTTTATGACATTCCTTGAAATCCCACCAACTAGTCAGGTTTGGTAGAGAAATGGGTCAGACTGAGAACATCTGTTTGGGCCAAAATACCAGCTGGATTTGGAGGTGTGTCAGAATGTCATTAAAATAAACATTTTCTTTGGCGGTGAGCTTGGCAGTTCTTTCCTCCGAGTCTCCCCATTGAGCTATTTACTGCTGATGGATAATACTGGACCAAGGTTTGTGTTTTTCCTAAAAAATGAAAATTTTAAAAGAAAACATGTAATTCCAACCACTCGCTCCTTTTATTTATACCAGTAATGAAATAAACGTTAGGCAAGTAGCGGTAATTGGTCATTATTGATCTCCCCTGAAGGCATCAGGCTAGATGATCATGTGGCTCGAATTCTTTCTAATGAGCCAAACAGTGTGCAGGGGAGGGTGGGTGTGACCACCTCCCACCTGTGATGTTTTGTGATGTGTGTAGACCAGACTTTTTTATAGTCCACCTTTTAGCTCCTAGCGTATGGAGACACAGGAGACACGACATGATGTAGTCTTGTCTTCAAAAACCTTTACAGTTCGTCAGAGAGAAGACTGCACAGGGCAGTGCAGAGCGGTGAAGGCCATAGTGCGGATACCCCAAGGGGAGGACAGGGGCTGAATCCCTAATGAGCAATGGGTAGGATTGGGTCAGGAAACACTTTAGCATTTTTTTTCTAGATGTCCTGGCATGGTTTTTATCTAGAACTACTAGTAAAATTATCATTCTCCCTGCTCTAGCCTTTGTGGTACAAATAAAGAGAGATGAGATCGGTATACAATTGTATGTTAATTGTAGTGTGATATGGCCTACGTATAATAATTTTGCAGTGAGAATCAGTGAGAATACCAATGAACTCGGATGCTCTCTGTCTTACTTCAGTTTTCTAATGCTTGAGAGAGACACCATGACCACTGTGGCTCTTATAAAGGAAAACATTTTAACTGCGGTGGAAGTTTACAGTTTTAGAGGTTCAGTCCATTATCATCATGGCGGCTGGGAGGATGGAGGTGTGCGGGCAGACAGCAGTGCTGGAGAATTCTACATCTTCATCCAAAGAAAACAGGAAGTGAACTGAGCCACTGTGAGTGGCTTAAGTATGTATGAGACCTCAAAGCCCATCCCCACAGTGACACACTTCCTTCAACAAGGTCATACCTTATGTGGACCATTTTCTTCCAAAAGCACCACTCTCTCACTGACTTTGTCAGTCTCTCAAAGGGAGTCCTCTTGTGGGAAGTCTGCTTAAAGCTGAATTAGAATATGAATATCAGCTCTCTAGGAGCAAGGACATTAGCTCCCTCTACTACTGTCCCTCAGCAGCTCCCTGCAATTGTGTGGGTGGGGTTCCTGCTGGCTCTCAGGTGGTCATCAGAAGGGACGTGCACATGAGGGCTACAACTCCTGGTGTTCTGAATTGTCCTAGCTCCTGCCTGCCTGGCATCTAAAATTAGTCCACCAATCCCATGTTTGGAATGGCACTGGCTCTCCCCGCCTCTTTCCTCCATCATCCCTCCGAACTGAACCCTGAGACAGACGCTTCTGACCAGTGAGGATCCCAACAGTGCCCAGCAGTGTTATTTGAAAGAAAAACATAAATAAGGAACCAGAGGGACTGAACTATGTTTTCTTTTCCTTGCCCGATCCCAGGGCACCTGAATGCTTGCTTTGTCTGGCTCCTGGCGTGCCCGGGGTTGAATAACCGCTCCTGGAACAGACCCTGAGCGCTGCAGGTCCTCCAGGCAGCTTTGTGAGTGCAGGTGCCATAAGATGAACTTCCAGGTGGAGGGTGTCTTTATAAAAGATGAGGCAAAGCTGAAAGTGAGTTTGTTTTGGTTTGTGTGGAGGGTGTGTGTGTGTGTGTGTGTGTGTGTGTGTGTGTGTGTGGTGTGAATGTCCCTGTACGATCATTCGGAAGCCAGAGCAGAATGCTGGGTGTGTTCCTCTATTGCTCTCCACCTCATTGGCTTGAGATAAGGATTTTCAGTGAACCAGAAGCTCACTATTTTGGCTAGGCTGTCTGACCATCAAGCTCCTGGGATCCTCCTGTCTCTGTCCCTTAAAGTTGGAGTTATAAGCACGTGTAGCGGTATCTGGCTTCTTATGTTGGAGCTGTGGTTTCAAACTCGAGTCTTCATGCTTACACAGCAAGCTCTTTTACCCACTGTGCCATCTCCGCAGCCCTGGAAGTCCCTTGGATTTTTGCTTCTACCTTAGAACACTATCTCTAAAGTACTGGTAGTAGCAAATATCAAAGGGACTTCTAAAAGTGCTCCCCCCCCTTTTTTTTTTTAAATCAGAAACAGGTTTCCAACAAGAAAAGGATTAAGCAGGCAGTTTACCTCGGTTTCCTTCTAACCCTGCCGCTTTCATGGGCTGTGGTGCCAGCCATGTTTATGAGCCTCACACCCTTAGTTTTTTTTGCTGGAGGGTCTTGTTGACAGGGCCAACAGATGGGCAGAGGTCATTCTCACGTGCTACTTTACTCACCCCAACTCTATCAACACAAATCACAACAAACCACCAACACTCATGTCTCTAATTCATTTGCTTTGGAAATTAGACAGTTTGTTATTGATGCCATTGAAGTCTTCAGGGACCTATCTCAATATGCTTCTTCATCTTGACTTAAATCCAACTCTTCTTGTTTCTGTCTTCATCAAAACACACTGCCCTCCTTTCCCTTACTGTCAGGGGGTGATGGACAATAAATGGTAGCAATAGTTTCTATGGCAACAACATCTGACTCATCTCCTTGGAAACCTGCATAAAGGCCTTCCATCTCCAGACCAGCTCAGTGCAACTTGGAAGGGCTTTGTTTCCTTGAATGGATCAGCATGGGGGAGCAAGCTCTCCCGGGCTTTGGCCACTACAGTTTCCTTTGGCTTCTGATGTGCACAGCATTTTAGATATAGAGTCGGATTTAACCAGAAATGGGGGATGGAGGGACTCAGAGTGCTTTCCTTGAACTTGCTGATGGTCGGAATGCACGTTCCCTGGTCCAGGACCAGATTCCCTGCCGATTTAGCCAATAGACATCTCACTCTTTTGGATACTCATGTGACTCAACCCAGCCTCCCACAGTGACCATCTATGGATCAGAATAAAAAAAATATTCTATCTGAACACAGATGAGCTGGGAGCTTAGGCATGGTCATGAGAGAATCCTGAAATGGGGCACTGTGGGGCAGCATGTCAGAGTCCCTTTCCTTATAGAGTCTTTCAAATGGAGCAGTTTGTTACTTGAATGGGAGCAGATTGGTTTCCAGCAGTTAAGAGGATTACTTCCCTCCATCCACACCAAATAAGAACCAAAATGTCCACTCTGCTTTCTGTTCTTCCGATCATTTTCACATGCATGAGCTCATCCGCTCAACTGTTCGACATATTTTAGTTTGAAACCACTGTCTTTCCTTGGAGTTTGGGATTCAGCTGTGATGGGGGAAATGGGCCTGATTTCTGTGCTAAAATGAAGGTAGGGATAAGGAAGGTGAGGGCTAATCAGATAATTGCCGATGAGTATGAACATTTGACCTGCGTTTGCTCTCCAGGAGAAGGACTGTGATATTCATATGTGTGATAGGTCATATCACCTCTCGGGGACACCTTCTTTGAAGTAAAGGATGAGTGAGTAGTAGTCAACAAAGCCTTCTACATAGGAAGCAAAGACTTAGAACTTGAAGATTTCTCTATAGTTTGCACAAACTGTTGACAGTCATGGGATGTGACCCCAGGACTCTTGCAGTCAGAGTCCTGTTACTTTGTTCTGGTTCTCACAGCATGGATGGCCTAGAGACAGCTGAAAAATAATCAGTCATATCCTGTATCAAAGAAACAATGATAACTGTCTTGGAGAGACAATGTCAGCTCCTGTGGAGGAAAAATCAGAATTACTGGATTCTGGATCTGGGCAACTGAGACAGTTTGGTCTTCCCACCTGTACCATAAACAATGACCATTACATTTTAATGCTCTGATAAGTGTGTGTGTGTGTGTGTGTGACAATGGTATCATTGTCTCTAAAGTTTGGCCATAGTAGGTCCTTGTAGGTGTCTGTAGCTCAAATCCTCATTAAATGTGCTCTTGGTAATTGGAAGCAAGTTTGTTTCTATAACAGCAGGACAGAGGGCTGGAATTTCCCACGAATAGCTTGGGATAACATGCTGGGTGTATTTATAAGTGGAGAGGTGTGAATATTAGCATACCCTATTCTCTGGAGGCCGATGGGTATGAACTGGGCTGCAAGAAGGCAATTAGGAAGGAGCCAGGGTGCGGCTGTGTCAAGGGAAAAGCATAGGGCTGTTAGAGGGAGATGGAACACTTGGAAAACATGGGTTCCAGTGGAGGAGCTCACAAGGGGACTGTGCTGCCACCCTGCTGAGCATGATGGGACATATGAAGTCTTAGGAGCACATGGACATGTTTAGATTACATGAAGATCGGACTAGAGAGTGCATATAAAGAAAGGAGTCTCTCTGTTGCAAATTAGTATTTTATAATATGCAGTAGTTTATTGAACATGAGCAGTTTTGCTGTAGGAACAGGTCACTATAAACTGGAAAGAGCATGTCATTTTAACAATATACTTTGTGGTGCATGTGGATTTTTGTAGATAAAGAGGTTGAGGCTTGGTGGGTATAACTAATTTTCCAGGGTAAATCATCACACAGGTAGTAGATGACTGACCTAGGCTTTTGCTGGCCCATTTCAGTGTGAGCATTCTATGATGCTGTTGAGCGCTCTTCCTCAAAGGGCCCTTTAGAAAGCTGTTGGGGTTGAAGGGGTAGTATAGACTGTGCTCATCTGTTAATATGTTTGCCAGCTCCCTTGGGGCTGTGGGATCAGGATGGTTAATTGGTGTTTGTCAGGCAGATCTAAAGTCCAAGGCCTCAGAGATGACCTTGAGGAACATCTCATTTTGAGAAGCATTCCGAATCTGCTAGTTAGCTTTAACTGTCAATTTGACACAGCCTAGCGTTATCTGAGAGGAAAGCCTTCATTGAGGAGATGCCTAGATCAGATTGGTCTGTGGACATGTCCATGGTTATCTTGGTTATTAATTGATATAGGAGGACCCTGCCCACTGTGGGCAGCACCATACCTAGGTAGATGGTTTTGAACACTGTCAGAAAGCTAGCTGAACCAGTCAGCAAGCAATACCCTCCATATCCTCGTGGTTCCTGATTCACTTCTATGGCTGTAGAGTGAGTTCTGTGGTCTGAGGTAATGCTGTATGGACTAGCAATCAGTTCAGGTTCCTGCCTTGGCTTTTCTCCAGACTGGACAGTGACCTGGAGTGGTAAGCTGAAAGAAAACTCTTCTCTCCCAAGTTGCTTTTTGGTTGGAGTATTTGATTCTCCCAATAGAAATGAAACTAGGACAAAGAGGTTATATAGCAGAGTGGCCACCCTCTGATTTTGTTTCTTTGTTTCTTCGTTTGAGACAGGGTCTTCCCATATAGTCCAGGCTGGCCAGAATTTGTAACCCTCTGGCCTGGCCTTAGCCTCCTCAGTGCTGAGGTCACAGGTGTGTCCCATCATACCAGTTCTGGGAGCCTTCTGTTTCTTCTCCCCTACTTTTCCTACCCTTCCCTTCCCTTTCTTGTGGGTATATGTGTGTGGAGGCCGGAAGTCAACCTTCAGTGTTGTTCCTCAGGAGTCATTTGCCTTGACTTTCTAAGTCAGGATTGCTCACTAGGACTTGAGGCTTGCAGATTCAGCCAGGCTAGCCGGCCAACAGTTCCAGGAATCCTCATATCTCTGCCTCTCTAGTGGAGGGATGACAGATACATATCATCACACTCAACTTTTTACACGATGCTTGGGATTGAACACAGGTCGTCATGCTTTCGTGGTCAAGCACTTTATCGATGGAACCATTTCCCCAACCCCTCTGAGAACTTTCTTTGACAACAATGGCTCTTTCACAGGAAGCCAAGGACTGCAAATGTCTCCACTCTCCTGTTCCGTGTGTGTCTGCCCAAACAGGCAACTTCCAAACTCTTCTCCAGGCAGTGTTCTTTTCTCTAACGACTTCTTCCAAATGTTTTATGCCCAGAAACCTGTGGGGCTAGGGTGTAGCATGGGGAACGTGGTTCAGATGTGCATTATTTGTTGATAGACAGTCTTTTTTTTTCCAGAACAGGTAAGGAACTGCTCCGTGTTCAATAGTCACATGCTTTGATTTCCATTGCTGTATATAAGGTGCTGATGGGGGCAGGAGTCCCAGCCAAGGTGAACGCTGTATTCAGTGGCCTGGAACAAAGCAAGATCGAGTGAATTCTTTGGGGCATGATTTCTGTAGCATTGAAAACTCACTGCACGCATGTGATGTGCTACGGTAGGGCAGGGAGGGATGGGAGAACCAGACAGCTATGCGTGCGATTATTTTCTCTGTGAACAAGCAGACCCAGATGTTATAGAAGGACTAAGAAAAAAGGGAATTGGGTAAATGGGAGGAGTGGTGATGAGACAGACAAAATATCATCCACCCAGTCCAACCCATGAAGACACTGGCACATGGCAGTGCATCTGAGCGAGAATTCCGTTCTGCCATCTGGTATACCTACTAGGTTTTACTGCAGCTGTTTTCTTTTCTTTGGCTTCTGAGTTCAATTTAATCTTCTAATTGATTGAACACCCCTTCCAAGGTCTTTCTAAGTCCTAGTTGCTCACAAGTCCTTGAGATTCCCAGTTGTTGGCCAAAACTGCCTTGGTTTTGAACCTTATTTAATGCAGTTTCCTCTATAAATAAACTGTCCTTGAGCCCTGGCATGACTCACCTTCCATGGACACATCAGCTCTTCCTCCTGCCTATTCACTTGCCTTCTTCCTGTTTTAGAAACATATTGCTAGGGGCTGAAGAAATGGCTCAGCGGTTAAGAGCATTGCCTACTTGTAACATGAGGGGGCTGGCTTGTTGGGGTTTCTGTCCTGCCCAGTACCCCAACAAGCCAGCAAGTCCCAAGGAAAATCACACACAAGATTCCATAAGGTTATAAACTGATTGGCTCATTAGGTCAGGCTTCTTGTTAACTCTTATAACTTATATTAACCCATTATTCTCATCTATGTTAGCCATAATGGCTCCGTACCTTTCTCTGCTGGGCAAGTTACATGCTGCCTCTTCGTTGGTCTGTACAGGAATGGCTGAGAGAGAGCTTCTGCTTCCAGAATACTCCCAGTCTCTTTGCTCCACCCCTAATTCCTGTTTGGCTTTCCTGCCTATACTGCCTGCCTGGCCAATCAGCGTTTTATTAAAATACATGATTGACAGAATACAGATAATTCTCCTGCACCACCTACTCTTCCAAAGGTCCTGAGTTCAATTCCCAGCAACCATATGGTGGCTCACAACCATCTGTAATAAGGTCTGGTGTGCTCTTCTGGCCTGCAGGCATACACACAGATAGAATATTGTATACATAATAAATACATAATAAAGAAAGAAAGGAAGAAAGAAAGAAAGAAGATAGGTACATTTCCTTTAAAGAAAAAAAAAAGAAACACATTGCTACTTTGCTCCTTATAAACATGCCCACATGCCCACAAATGTGCACATGCACACTCAAATATATGGTTTGATGGAGTAACAGGGTATCTTGGCCCTTAATAATGGAGGGCTGGGACCAGGGAGATGGTTTGGTTCTCAGCACTCCTGTGGCTAACAACTATCTGTAATTCCAGTTCTAGGAGATTTGATCTGATGCCTCTTCTGACTTCTGACACAAGTGGTGCACATATATACACCCAGGCATGCACATGAACTAAATTAAAAAGTGTATTTTTAGTGAATGGAATGGTATAATACCAAAGCCATTTTTCATCAATTCATAGAGTCCCTGATGAATTTAGTCTGAAACTTGACATGCTAAGGACAATTTTTTTGCTGTATCTTATTTTTTAAATATTTTCTTTTACATGGTATGTGTGCATCTGTGTGTATGTACAGTACACATGTGAAAATTAGAAGACAACTTATAGGAGTCAATTCCTTCCTTCTATGTGAGTCCTAGAGGTTGAACTCAGACCATCAGGGTTGATAGCAAGTGACTTGGCCTAAGCCATCTCACTGGTCCTGAACCTGCCCCCTTGAACCAGACATCCAGAGTTGCTTATGAATGTGTCTCACCTTAATTAATCACTTCTCTTAGATGAACTGAAATCCTTTAGTCACTTAACACTTCTAAAGCTTTTGTCACATTTGGGGCAGTCTCTACCCTTTGTCCCTTCGTTTTGGAGTCAGCCCCTCCAGAGAGCCCAGGCTAGTCTTGAAATTGTGGTCTTCCTAGCTTTGTCTTCTGGGTGCTAAAGGCCTTTTCTTCTTCCTACAAATTATTTCTGGATGAAACTAGCTTTTGTTCAGCCATTTTCTAAGAATAAATCAGAGGATAAAGCTGTTACAGGTAAAAGGGCTAATGGGGAGAAAATAAAAGTATAGAAAGATAGATGAGCCTAAAGATTATTAAAATTTTAATCTAATGTACAGCCAGTCACTCTTAAATTCATGATAAGTGAATCATAACCTTTTGTTTGGAGAACTGATTATTAAGTTATTTATAGATTAATTAGATAAAGGGTCTCTCTGTGTAGTCCAGGCTGGACTTGAATTTGGATCCTCCTGCCTCAACCTCTAAAATCAAAGAGAATTACAAGTGTTTGCCCTCTCCACACCTGGCTGGAAGGGTATCACCATGAGTGTAGCCTGAGGTTGCTGGATTCAGCTTAATCTTCATCTTTCCAGATTTTCTTCATTATCACAGCCATTTCTCTTTAATTCAAATCTCTACGAGTGTATTTCCTGCCTTTTAATCAAGCATTTCAGATTTATTACCCTGTTTTGTTTTCTCCAATTGTCTATGAACTGTTCCATGTCTAAATTTTGAGCAACTCCCCTGTGATTTCCTGTGGAGTATTGCTGTTAGCATTTTTTTTTACTATTGTGTGGGTATCTAGAGCTTTCTACACATATTCTTACTTCCCTGTCTTTTCCAGCCTTCAAATTCCTCTGTTTCTGGCAAGCAGCTGGTCAGCCTATGTCATCACACGGTATTTATAACAATGGAATGCCTCTGAGCTTTGTGAGAACAAGAACCATGCCTTCATAATTTTATATAGTTTTGTTTTATAGGCAGCCTCCTTACCCATGGGTCCTACACTGCAAATATGAATGGGTCTATGACGCCCACCACACATTTATCATCTTTGACTTCTAGGGAATCCACCACCACTTCTCTCTGTTCTCTCCTTATATCTTTCTATTTACCAGAGGACTATCTGGTAGTCCTGTGTATCTTAATCTCCCCTAGCCCAGCTTCAAGCTCCAGGAGTTTATGTATTCTCAGGATCAAGCCTTTGACATGTACATCCATCATGGTATCATCTTTATCTGACTTGTTGTGGATATGGATGATGTTCTGAACATCATGTTCTTTCTATGCTGTCTGTCACTGTTTCCCCACTACAGATGCATTTTTAGGGAAGGTAAGAGTGTTCACAAAACAGTCTGCTGCTGAAATAAGTAAACAGGTTTGTTCTGTGACTACGTTTTCCTAGGGAGATGCAACCCACACTTCTCATCCCAGATAGGGATCCCATGACAGACCAAAGTACAGATATCACCAAAGTTCAGTTTGGTTAACCAGTGAGTTTTGTTGGGGTTACTTACAAGAATATGGATGAAAGCTTACTTCTAGGAGGAGAAATTACTCAAAGACAGCTGAATCACCAAAGGGCACCCCAACATGGGTAACAGCTCACATAGCTGGGAACCTGAAGCACAGTGCACAGCCTTCAGGGGTTGTGGGGCGTCAACATGGGTTGGAGGGTGTCCTTCCCAGGAGTCTCTGTTGGCCTACGCCTCTCTCAGGCAGCTTGGCTGGCTTCTGCTGCTTTCAGGAGCTTCTCTCAGAGTCTTCTTCACAACTTTTCTTCTCTGAGAAGGGCTCTCAACTTTTACTGCTTACTCTGGCAGGGAGGGACCTAGTGAATCTGGTTGGTTTCAGGGCCTTCCGGAAGCTATTTTGAGTTTTTTACCTTGGTGCTTAAGGATCTTCATGCAGGATGGAATGTTTTACTTGTGGGGAAAACTGTTACACAATGGGGTCTTTTGAGGAGTTATCATTTAATACCGGAGGTTAGTACATAGGTATAATCTTGGTATTGGCAGAGGGTGTCATGAAGGTTCATGGGATATGGGATGATGTTTTTCTGTTTCTGTGTAGTACTGTGATGGTTAGAATTATGTATACACTTGACAGTTCCGCATAATACAGAACCCTTTCCCTGTAGCCTTAGCGATGAAGCTTAACCTCACCATTGCTGATGTCAACAAGGAAAGAAGAGCTCTGATTGGTTGTTGGTATCTGGTGGTGATTGTTATCATCTGGAATGGCATTTTCCCTGTGGCCACACCCCAGTGGCACTCTTGTCTTTTCTGAGTTAAATTGCTTTTGGGTGACTGGCTTGAGCAATATTTCCACACTGTTGAAAGACGGTCCCACGTTTAGAAAGGCATTCCTAAGATGCTTCTAGAGCTGTAAATCAGACTGTTAATTATACACACTAGCAAGGATGAGCTGGTTTCCCTCTCTAAGCTCAATGGTCTATTTCTAACAATATGGACAGACACTCTTCTGTTTGAATAGACAGTCTTAGGATGTGGCTGGTGGCTGACTCCCTTTTCTATGGATTTGTCAGTCATGATTATTTTAGAAAATGTTTGGATCGAAGTTTACATAATGCTTTAACTTTTCCAGTCTGTGTATGAAGCTTCATAAAAATAGTTCTATTGTTCAGTATTTGTAATTGTGATTCTGTTTTTTCCTGTTATTGTGTAATTTAACTGTATGTGAGATTAGTTCTAGTTGAACTGCCAAAAATTCACTAAAATATACTTTCAATTATATTCAATTCATGGCAAATATACAAAGTCAAAGGGGACATTAAAACATTGAATGTTTTTAAAAGCATTCAAGCATTCATGGGCGTTGGAGAATTATGAGTTCTATTTTAATAAGAATAAATTTTTAATATAAAACTGACTTATTCAAGGTGCAATAAATTTTATTACTGAAAGAAATTTAGCAGTTACAATTTCTAGTTATTTGTAATGCTTGAAAATCTATGGGTTTTCTCCCAAGAAACCAAGAGACCCTCAAAAGAGCACATTAGCAATAGCTTACTTATTCCAGTTCAATTGTTCGGGTTTTGTCTTCTCTGAGAATCCCTTCTAGTTTCTTCTCCTTTGAAAATGTGGTGATGTTGTTTCTATGGAAACAATGATGTCATGGCTATGAATGGGGCTTTAGTGACCACCAAGAGTGCCATATATCAAGCCAGTGATAGAGCCCGGCTTTACCTATGAAGTTGCAAGTGGGGGTCTGCTGTCTGAAACTTGAAATATGTACAACTTGGAGGTTTGTAGAGTGAGTCTGGGCAATTCATGTGGAGTGTGTATTTGTGAAGCCATGCGTGTGTGATTGAGAATTGCATCCCACACCCCAGTAGATCATCAGTTCTTAGGTCTGCAGGGTAGAAATCTGAAGTCTGTGAAGTCATGTTCCTAACATCCATGGGAGGAATGGGGGACAAATTTATGTTTGTTTGTTGTGATATTCAGAAACACCTGTTATCTGACATCAGCACCAGTACAGAGGGGAGCTTTGTAAAGATGGGGGCATCTGCAGGTATTACTACAAGTAGATTTCGTCTAATTTAACTTTCTTGAATTTGTATTTCTGTATACATAAATGACATTTGATGAGGGATCCATATAAATGGAGACCATTTGACCAGAGGCAGAGTCGTATTGAAGGGCATCCATCACTTCTTTCTAAGGAGAGTGGTACTGTTCGCAGAAGCTGCAGTGATTGGGCCTCTGCTTTGGACACTTCTCTCTTAGAATTGGATGCCCCTGTTCTTAGCATCTAGATCTTGTAGCCCACTCTTTTTATTTTAATTGGGGCCGATAATGCATATTTTTCCTCGGGATGGGTAAACGTTCATTTTGAACTAAATCTAATGATTACCTGCCTTGATAAGTTTGCTTTATTGCTAGTCTAGTTTTTTTTTTTAAAAAAGCTAAAGTTTGTTTATGAAGCAATGACACTGGTATCAATTGTTTATATATTAGTTTTAAAATATCTTCTTAAGGGAAGATTTCTTCCAAGTTTTAATCAATAATTATTTCAATATGATTTATCGTATTTCCAAGGTGACTACTTTGAGGGTTAGCATGTATTTGGTTATATAAGTTTAAGAATACTTGATGGAAATAAATCTCTGGTAAATAGAATAAATATCATATTAGATTAGCATCAGATAATGCAGCTTTCTATATAACCACAATTTTCAGGTAATAAAATGTCTTCTTTTAAGCATCAGTCCTATCTTTCAAAATTAATGCCTGTTTAATTGAAGTATTTTGTTATGTCATGCTCTCCTTTAACCAAATATTCCCTGATATTTGTTGCCATGCCACAAGGACTCTGAAGGTGGGATTAAGAATCTTGTGATGGGATTAGTGTTGATTGTCCAGGTGGGTCCAAGGTCATCAGAATGGTCCTGACAGTGAGGAGGTCAGAGAGACATATGACATTGTCATGACAGATGTAGATCTAGAAACTGTTACTGGCTTTTGGGATGAAGGAAGGAACTGGGAGCCAAAGAATACAGGAAACTCCTAAGAACTGAAAGAGTCAAAAAGATGAGTGAAATTCCCCCTAGGATTCCCCAGAAGGACTATCTCCCTATATAATGACTATTTTATGCTCTGACCTTCAGAATTGAAGGAGATTAAACTTGCCTTGTTTTACACCAGTAACTTCGTGGTGGTATTATTTCACGGTAGCAGTAAGACTCTAAGACGTTGCCCTTCTTCTGACTTTCTACAGTAGAACACATTGATTCAATTTGTTAGAAACATGCCACCTGTTCAAGAAAACCTTGTTATCAATTATATGGCAGGTGACCTGAATGTGAAAAAGTAAACATTATGTCCTCAGATCTTGCTTTATGATAGAAATGGTCCAGTTGTAAGACTAGGCTGGGGAAAGACAGTAAACGAACCATTGCAACCCAGGGTTTTTGTGGGTTGAAGCTAAATTATATATGAACACTAGAAGAAATTCACAGCAAGGTGACTGTCTTGTGGCAGGGTCATGTTGATATGTCTTATGGGATGCATATGTGTGTGTGTGTGTGTGTGTGTGTGTGTGTGTGTGTGTATAGTCACAGTGGCCATGGGGTCAAGAGAGGCTTGCTTGTCTGATTAAGTTCTAGATGGGAAAGGGCATATCAGGTAAAGCAAGGAGTACAAATTCCTTTTCTTCAGGAACTGTGTTGGTTCCTAAGATCTTCCTTCCTTTTTGCTCTTCACATTGAAATGTCACTCATGGGTAAGAAAGGCATGAAAAACATAAACTACTGAAGGATGAAGCCTGTGGCCAGTGTGTTTTCATTTCATTCAGTAGGAGCGACCCTGAAGTCAGCTCCTTTCCCAGACGCTGGAGACCCTCATACCTCTCCTATTAAATTGTTTGGTGGTGGACTGTGTCACAGAACAGCATCTCTTTTAATGAACTTTTTCTTTTTGAGGGGAGGAACTCTATCATGGTAATAGCCCAATGACATTCTTATGAGAGAGTTTCTGCTAATTTACAGAATGAGAGAATGAGGAACACAGACTCATATTTAGATTAACTTACATTTTTATGGGAGGAAATGGGCCATCTGATTCTCTAGGAATGTATAGCTCCTTTTAATTACACATTATGTACAATGGTTTGGAATGTTTTTGTTCCTACTTAACAGTTATTCCTATCCAAAATAATCGACTGGATGTTGTTAACTACAAAGCATTGTAAATGGCCTGAGACCCAAAGGTACCAGTAATCTTAGCCACAACATAAAAATTTATTTAACCATTTGAACCATTTGTTGAGACCTTAAATAAACCCACCACTACTAAGCTTCTTGCTTACTTTTCCTATGTGTTCATATTCCCTTTCTTGTCTTTTCCACCTTAAATGGACTTTTTGCTGTATCCTTCTGCCACAGTAAGTCTTGACAAAATAATTGGCCCTGCTCCACTCTCTCCAGCCCTACAGGATGTTTGTCAGTGGCTTCTCAGGATTAGATTGTTAGCATGAATTTTGGTTGCCTCTTTAATTTTTTTTAACTTTCCCTGTCGTTCACACCACCCTGATTTTATCACCTTTGGTCATCCCTCCCATGAGTTTGAACTGTGATAAAATGCTGGGTTGTCTGAGGATATGTTGTGCTGCTGAAACAGAGTGCCACAGACTGGGTCACTGATAAAGAAGAGAAATTGATGTCTCACCGTTCTGGAGTCAGGGACATCGAAGATCAAGGTTCTGGCATCTGATGAAGGGCTTCTTGCTGTTTCTTCACATAGTGGAGGTACAAGAAAACAAGGGAGCCCCTTTAGGATGGTGTTAACCCATTGACTGCTAGTGCAACCTACACCACACATATCCTATTAGGCTCAACCTCCATGGCTCTACTTGGGATTAAGTTTCTGACTCCTCTTTTAGAAGAGACATTCAAATCATCGGAGGGGTAATCAACCATGCATACTGCAAAATACTATTTTCCTTTTGTTTCATAAAGTATGATCATGCCAGCCTGTTGGGATCCATACTTATTTGTATCAGAAAGGATCATGCCAGTCTATTGGTATCTATATATTGTTTGTGTCATAAAGGATCATACCAGCCTGTTGGTATCTATATATTGTTTGTGTCATAAAGGATCATGTCAGCCTGTTGGTATTTATACATTATTTGTATCATAAAGGATCATGCCAGCCTGTTGGTATTTGTACATTATTTGTATCATAAAGGATCATGCCAGCCTGTTGGTATTTATACATTATTTGTATCATAAAGGATCATGTCAGCCTGTTGGGTTCTATACATTATTTTTCTGTTGTTTCATAAAAGATCATGCCAGCCTGTTGGCGTCTATACATTATTTGTATCATTTTGCTCTCTTCTTAAAATCACTCTGCCCAATCTCAGATAATTTTCAACTTTCCACAGACTTCCAGATATTGTATTTCTGGCTTAGCTCTCTTTCCTGACTCCAAACTCTAATTATATAAACCACTTCCTGTGTAACATCTCTTAGATTTCTCAAAGGCATCTCAAAATTTCTGTGCCAAAATCAAGAGAGTGTCTCACTATGTAGCCCTGACTGACCTTGAACTTTAGCTCTTCAGCAGCCTCTCAAGTGCCAGCATTATGAAACAAGCACCACCAGGCTTGATCTGAAGTCAAGGCCTTTGTCCTCCTGGTCAGTCTAGTTCTATTTCAGTTACACTGATCTGGTGTCTGGTACCACTCTTGGCAATTGCTCACACCCCAAGACCTCCCTCTTGGTCCCACCTTCTTGTTGCTATACATATCTAATCTGGCACAGGTACTGTTGGTCCTTACTTCTGAACCAGTTACTAAATTCAGCCGTTTCTGCCCATCTCCATCCACCTAGGCATTTCAGTTCATGGGACTTCAGCAGTAGCATCAGACTGGTCTCCCTGTATCCACTACCAGCCCTGCCCCTAATGACTGTGGGGAGAAGAGACCACCTGTTTCAGAATTTTAGCAACTCTGAGACTGATATAGGTAGTTATGCCAGCATTTTCCCAGAGGTCCTCACCAATGTTAGAGAATGCCAGGTCACCTGGTGGGTTGGCTGCGGGTATTTATCCTCGGTCTCTGAAACACTACTGAAATAACTAGTCGGGCAAAGAAAATGGAAGGAGAAATGGTCAATCAAGAGTTTTCATGATTATGTTGGAGAGGATGTGGAGTAAGGGGAACACTCCTCTACTGCTTATGGAAGTGCAAATTTGTCCAGCCACTTTGAAAACCGGTATAGTGGTTTCCTAGAAAATTGGGAATCAATCTTCCTCAAGACCCAGCTATACCAATTTTAGGCATATACCCAAATGATGTGCAATCATACCACAAGAGCGCTTGCTCAGCTGTGTTCATAGCAGCATTGTTTGTAATAGCCAGAACTTGGAAACAACCTAGATGCCCCTCAACCAAAGAATAGATAAGGAAAATGTGGTACATTTACACAATGGAGGACTACTCATCTGTTTAAAAAAAAAAGACCCTCATGAAATATAGAGTCAACTGGATGGAACTAGAAAAAAAAATCATTCTGAGTGAGGTAACCCAGACCCAGAAAGACAAATATGGTATGTACTCTCTCATAGGTGGTTATTAGGAGTAAAGGATAGAATAACCAACCCACAATCCACAGCCCCAGAGAGGCTAGATAACAAGGAGGGCACCAAGAAAGATGCATGGATTTCCTTGGAAAGGGGAAGAAGAAAAGATCTCCTGGATAAAGTTGGGCAGGGGTTGGAGGGATGAAGAGATGGAAACTAGAGGGAATGGGTTAGGCAGGTTGGGTAGGTGCAGGAGGCTGGTTGGAGGCAGGATGGAGGGGAAGAGTAACAAAAGTAACATCTTGATAGGTGGCATTTTGGAGTTAGGGAGAAACCTGGTGCCAGGGAAAACCCCAGGAACCCACAAGTATGACCCCAACAATGGTGGAGAGTGTACCTGAACTGGCCATCTACTGTAAGCAGATTGATGACTTCCCTAATTATCATCAGAGATGCTCTATCCTAAGTGATGGAAGCAGAGGCAAAGATCTACAGACAAGCACTGAGCGAGCTCCGAGAGTCTTGTGGAAGAAAGAGAGGAGGGATTGTACCGGCCAAGGGGATCATTATGGGGGAACCCACAGAGACAGCTGACCTAAGACTGCGGGAGCTCTTTCTTGGACGCTGGACCAACAGTCAGGCAGCCTAAATGGGACCAACCGAGGCCCTCTCCATGTGGTGTGACAGTCGGGTAGCTTAGTCTCTTAGTAAGGCTTTTAACACTAAGAGCAGAAGGAAAGTCTGGAACTTAGCTGGCTTTTGGTAACCCATTCCCCATGTTGCATTTCCTGGCCCCTCCTCCATGTAAGGGGAAGAGCAGTCCTGCATCAAATTGATGCACAAACCCAGGGGAGGCCTGTGCCTTTCTGAATGGAGAGGGAGGAGGAATGGATGGGGAGGGGGTAGATGGGGAAAAGGAGGGGGGACAGGAGGAGAGGAGGGAGGGGAAAGTTGTTGGTATGGACAATGAGGGCAGACTGAGAAGCCAATGATAATGACACTGGGTTTTGATTCTACTGCATGTACTGGCTTTGTGGGAGCCTAGTCTGTTTGGATGCACACCTTCCTAGACCTGGATGGGGGGGGGGGGGCCTGGCCTTCTCCACGGGCGGGGCCCCCCCCTCTCTTCTCCGGGCACTCGAGAGGGGGGGGGGGGAGTGAACGGGAAATGGGAGGAGGTGGAACTTTTTAATAAATAATTTAAAAAAATAAAAAAGAAGGTATAAAAATAATAAAAATTGAAAAAGAGAATTTCATGACTGCTTGAAAGACAGAGTGCAGGGGCAGATGACACTGATGACCTCACTGGAACAGAGGCAACCTTTTCAGCCCAAGGTCTCCAGGAAGAGGTGTTGATTGCAGGAAAGGGGAGTGATGCCAGAAGGCCTGGTAAGGCTCAAGGTTTGGGGTACCCGGTAATGTAGAAGGCAAGACTGAGGCGCCCGAGGGAAGAGTGTTCACACTGAACTGGCAAATCCTCAACCTCTCCTGTGTTTCTAGAATATTGACAGGGAAGGTCCCCTGCCCCACACCTGGAGTAACAGAATGGTTCCGGAGGAAAGACCTCCAGATCTTTATCTATGGGGGTTTCTACAAATGAAAGCCTAGTGTGTCTTCTGGTTACTTTACAGTAAACCTTGGTATCAGTGAAACCTTCCAAGCAACAAGTATCTCCTCACAGTGTTTCCACTTTTACTGTTCTTTGTAAATCTGAGTCAGCAGCCAAACTCCATGAAGTAACTTGTTTAAGGAAACACAGACATACATACACTCACACATGCGTGTGCACACATGTGTGTGTATAGATATAAGTATTAACTATCTGAATATATACATAATAGGCTAAACTAAAGAAAGCAAATAGCAGAAGTCACAAAAGAAACCTGGGAGGTGGTGACAATAAAATTGGTATTAAGAAGACACTGCCTCCTAAAACAAGAAAAGGACACTGAAAAAAAAATGAATCAAAGAATGCCCAGAAATGGATGGAAACCATGAGAGCCAAACTAAAAATGAAATAGAATGGCTACAGTTTTCTAAAATCAGCCAAAGAGTAGACTAGAAATGTGAACCGAAAGCCAGTCTGGCTCCATCTGAGAAGCCCAGCACCTGACTAATTGAATACCAAACAAAGCAGCACAAGGAAAAGGTGTCCCTGAAGGGGTGGGGTAGGGGCTGTCACGGGAGAACATGGGAGAAAACATTCCCTGCTACCAGATTCCTAGTTCCAAATGGAGGGGACCCAGTGAGTACCCCAGGTGCTTTAGGCAAAAGGCCCACGGAGATGGGTTTCTTTCCCCCACTGGTGTGCAAGAGCATTTCTCGCTCGCTGTCCTTCTTTCTGGCTTAGAAGAGGCTTAGGTATGTCCAGAGGAACAGGCTGGGGTTGGGGGTGCCCTGCCTGTTAAGTTCATTGAGTCTGAGCAGTGTAAGCCACCTTGTCACCAGTTTCTCAAGGGCAAAGCCCCTTACAGGTTCTTGAATGCGCTGCTTGGTATCAGATGTAAGATCCCTGCGTTTAAATTGGATTTGCCTTTATTCTCTGTAGTGACTGGAGAGGCCGGTAAGAGATAAGGAGATGTGAAATGAGGGACCTTTTGAGAAGTGATTTTCAACATTGTAGGAAATGGACGAACACAATGAGGTTGGTTTTTTTTTTTTGTGAGTGTGTGTGTGTGTGTGTGTGTGTTTATTTTTAAGCTGTGATCTAAATGTAATTTGTTGCAACTGAGTATCTTTCTAATTATACATTTTTAAAGAGCTGGGGGGAAAGTAGTCGAAATTGAGCTCCTTTTAGCCTGGAGGAAAATTGTTTTCCTTTTGGCATAATTATTCCACACCAATAAATTGTTAAATGGCATATTATTATGGAACTTAGTCATAAAAGATCTTTGATTTGGCCTCAGAGTATTCTGATTGCTACAAAACAAGTTGCCATTAGAGGTGATCTTCAAAGCCTGTCACTACGATTCTTTTTTCTTTTTCAATTTTCTTTTGAAAAAGTAGGAAAGAGAAACATTTATCTGTGATCCACGCAGTAGCCCCATCACCTCAAAGTCATTAGCGAAAGAGCAGTAGGCTACACAAGCTGAGCCTGTGGTCTTTGCACAGGAAAACATGACATTGGTAGTGGAGTCTGGGGACCACTAAGCAACCACCACTGATCAAATGTGTAGATCCATCAGTGCTGAGATTTTAAGCTATGTTCTTAAGAGCAGCTAGATATGTTAAAAATAAACGGAAGGGGACATGGGGTGGGCTACTTTTCTTCACATTAAATGGTGGCTAACCAAGGGGCTATCCACAGACCCTCCTGCCTGGAGTCTTCCTTTCTTCAGGTATGGGTAATGCTAACAAGCCTGGGTTTATAGTTCTTGAATGTCTTTCCTGCCCCGCTGGGAACAGCTGGACTCTGTAATGCTTCCTTGCTCCGTCCTTTGCTTTTTCACAATCTTAACACAAGCAGCCCCCGCCAGCCATCTACATTGTCAGAGGAACTCCTTGTTCTTAGTTGAAAATTCTATGAATAGGCACTAAAGAGGGCAAGAAGCTGACCTTACATAACGTCTACCTTCAAAGACCCTTATATGTCTCTTTTTAAAGAGCTAGCGTTCCGGTTGCAAGGAAGAAAAAGAGCTGTGTTAAGAGCAGGGAGAATATTTTATATATATATAGTCTTTATATAAAGCATATATATATAGTCTTTATGTAAAGCATATATATAGTCTTTACAATAGTTATATATAGATATAGATAGATAGATAGATAGATAGATAGATAGATAGATAGATATAAAACTATTGTAAAGCTAGACTAATTGCTATTGTCTTGCAGGCTGTGATAGTCAGAGGAGGTCTTAATTGAAATAGTACTGTGGGATATTTTAGATGGACAAGGGACTGAGTAAGAGTTTGAGGGTAGTAAATGCTAAGTCCAAGTTTAGACGTTGAAAAAAACTAAATACCCTCAGGACAGACAGAATGCGATAGTGCATTTGAACTATTGCAGCAAATCAGTGGTTTTTATGTTTTTATGTCTAAAGTGAAAGGTGTTGTTCAACAAGACCTTATGCGGGGTACCTACATATAAACGCTAGGGCTGCAGCTTTGGTTGAGGAGTAGAATGCAGAGCTAGGTATCTGTGCCGGGGTCTCAGCCCCAGTGGGGTCCCTGAGATTCTCATATCACACACAGGACACAGCGTAGAGGCCACACGTCGTGAGGAGCTGCTTGGTGAGAAAGAGAAAACTGTTTCGAGTTTGGTGGTTCAGTATCAGTTTGATCGCATTGTGTAGACAGTGGGGCACCGTGAAACGTTTTCAGTCAGGCCCTAAGATACAGTGTTTTAGGAAGATGAAGATGGGAAGGAGGTCCCCACTCTTCTGATACCCAGCATGATCCATGGAGTATTCCCAGGGATATCTTAGAGATATCTTAGAGAGAGTGGCTACTTTTTCACACTGAAAAGCAAGCAAGGATGACTGAAATGACTTATGGAGAGAAACTAAGCACCAAGTTGATGAGTACAAGATGATATTAAACAGGATAACAGTTATGATAGTGACCCCGATGTTTATAAAAGATCATTGGGATCAATGATTAAATTATGGGAGAGTTATTATGGGATTATGGTAGAGTGAGGGAGAACAGGTGGCCTCTAAGTGGGAGAGACCAACGCAGCCCTGTTTGTGCCTGTTCCCAGGGTTTGACCTCAGTTCCAAGCAGTTATCATGGGCAGCCATCTCTCTTGCCTCTCATACTGATAATTTTTATGATTTCCTCCACCAATTCTGTCTTAATCAGCTTGGGCTCGATAAAAGAGTGAGATAGGCAGGGTTGCCCAAATAGCAGGCATTTATTTCTTGTAGCCTGGGGGCAGGAAGTCTTTTTGGAGTCAGCATGGTTGACTGTGGTGAGGGCCCTCTTGCAGGTGGCCACTTTCTTGCAGAGTTTCCTCACATGGTTTTTCCTCAGCCAAGCCTTTCTCCTCCTGCTGCCCTTTCCTCTCCTCTTCACTGACACCAGAGCTGTTGGCCTTACACTTTCAGCCCTACAGCCTCTGCCTCCCAAGTGATAAAATCAGATCACAAACATGTCCCGCTACACCCAGCCTCGCAGTCAAGTTCTTAAGAGGACACCAGTCCCATCCTTAGGAGCCCCCTCACTCCATACCCTGTCTCAGCCCAGCTATAGTCCAAACTTCCCCCCTCCTTGGAACTAGGCCACAGACACAGGAATTTGGAGGAACACAACACTCTGTGCCCTGAAAAGCTGCTTCCCCCTTTTCTGGTGTGTGGAGAACAGGAAGGTGGTTCTGCATTGTGTGTTCCAGAGTGCTGACTGAAGTTTGGGACACTCTCCAGCGCACAGGTCATGTGTCTTCTGAGCTCCACAGAAGGAAACTCAGATATGTGATGTCTCGGTAGGGGAAGCTTATGTAGAGAGAGCTAATGGGAGAGATGGTGTCCCCTTCCTCTCTAACCTATGATTGCCTGATGACTTTGTCAGCTACAACCCTGAGGACCTTCCTTCCACTGTCTGCCAAGACACACATCTGTTATTTAGTGTGTCCTTGTGTAAGGGCTGGATCTCTGTAAGCCCTTGTTTGATATACAGCCTGTGAGGAGGCAGAGCTGTTCAGAAACCAACTAGGCAGCCTTGCTATGAACAGAACGGAGCGGCTGAGACACCTGACCAGGAAAACTAGACTGAGCAATTACTTGCATACATGGAGATGGACGAGTTCTTTATACGGAACCTTGGCATCTATAGAGATGTGTCCGGATCTGATTGCAACTCCTTGAAATAATAGTGTATCTCGATGGCTTCCTACGGGGAGTGCAGTAATTATAACTTGGTAGCAGAAAGTTTTAATGACCCTCAAAATGTTGTAGCCCTCCTGGGTGATCTTGTCCCTACCTGGACAGACTGCATATGTGCTGGAGAGGCCCCAGTGTCAGGGAACCTCCCCATCTTCTTCAATCACTGTGAAGTTCTGCTTAGGGAGACTCTACAGACCTTGACCTTGACCGTGGAGGCAGCAAGTCCAGAATTGTCACTCTAGTTTCTGCTGTGGAGGGCATGGAGCTCTTCAGCCTGTGCTTGGATCGGCAGTCTGGAACCTTCCTGAAGAATGAGGGGAGCTGGGAAGGTGCTCCTTATCCTTGTGTGGCCCAGTCTAATTTTCGCTTTGCTTTTGAAATTAGCATGGTGAAATTGATTTTATGACTGTAGTTTTGGAAATTTTAATCTCTGAGTTGTGTAACCACCCCCACTGTCAGACTACAGAATATTCCATCACCCTTAAAATGGCCCTGGTGCTGTCACTTGGTAGTCTGTCTTTTTCCTTCCCCTAATCCTTAGCAATTGCTGATATTTGTTTAGTTCAATTTTATTTTTGTAACTCTTCAAATCTCAAATTTAAAGATTTACATATTTATTTTTATGTGTCAGAGTATAATGCCTGTAAGCATTCATGTGCAGCACGTGTGTGCTTGATGCTCATGGAGGTCAAAAAAAGGCACTGGGTCCCTGGAAATTAGAGTGATGGGCAGCTGTAAGCCAGCATGGGCTCATTGACCAGCCAGCCTAGCAGACTCAGTGAGCAGCAGGCTCAGCTAAAGATCTATTTTAAAGAAAACAAGGTTGAAAGAATGCAGGAAGATGCCTGATGTCGGCCTCTGGATATGCACAGACACATGTCTGGACACACACGTGGGTACTCTGTGCACACACCCACAGGAACTTGTACATTAACCTCCTCTATGCCCCACAGAGAACAAAGGATGCTGCTGTTTTTCCTACTAAAACATCCAGGCATCTTTTTGCCCAGGACCATGGGTAATCGTAGGAATTTAAAGATGTAAAATCCGATCTAAACTTGGAGCAGTCTAGCTGAGGGGCTGGAGGGGAAGATGGAATGGAGGTAACATGTGGTGCCCTGCATCAGCTGTGAAGATGGGGAGGGACAAGGGCTACAGAGTGTCTAGATGACACTCTTGGTTTCTATGGTCCACTGTGATTTTTGTCTCTACTGATCCTCAGACTTCAGCCGCCTATTAAGATCTCCCTGAAAGTTAAATATCTACCTCCGCACCCGAGCTATGCTGCAGGAACCAATTCAGTCAGAATGTTTGGGTGTGATTCTGAAATCCAGCATTTTCTGTTTCCTGTGTGGTTCCAGTGCTCAGCCTACCTTGAGAACTCTTGTCCCTTTGACCCCAAGGAAGTGTTGCCGCCTACTGACAGTAGATGGATCTTAGGCTCTGGAAGAAGCCTCTACTCTGAGAACTTGTGATGTGTGTGCGTGCTCTGTCTCTACCATGTATGTATCAGAGCTGTATGAATTTCACCATGTGTGTGTTAGAGTTTGATCTTTGGCTGTTTCTGAGAAACACCTTGTGTTGTGTTTTTATATCACTTGGAATGCTGACATATTCTTTCCCAGTTCAAATTTCACTTATTTATTTATTTTTTTGTTTGTGTTTTATTATTTATTTATTTTGAGACAGGGTTTTTCTGTGTAGCTCTGGATGTCCTAGAATTCACTTTGTAGGCCAGACTGGCCTTGAACTCACAGAGATCTGCCTGCCTCTGCCTCCTGAGTGCTGGGATCAAAGGTGTGCTGGGTCAGTTCTGGTTTTATTAGTGTTCTCCCCATAATTTCTTCAGCATCTCCTTAGAATCCTTCCTTCGTTCTACCTTCCTCTCTACCCTGGGTGTTCACCAAGGCCTCTATTCCTCCTGCTGTGGTTTCTGCACCTGCCTCATGTCTGGGACTCTCTAGGTCCTAAGAGATGAATACAACCTAGTCTCTTACCTCTTTCTTACCTTCAGTTGTAGAGGAGAGTCAGTGTTTCAAGAGCTTGAGAAGGGCTTTGAATGGGATCCCAGTGAATGACTTCCGGACCTCTGAAAATTTTTTCTGACTTGTTCCCTGGCTCTCTGGTGCAAGATGCATAGGATATCCTTTGTGCTCTCGTGTGCTCATCGACTGCATAGCTGCTTTTTCCAGGCATGGAATTTAGAGACCATTTCTTCATCCTGCTTCTCAGCCTATAGCGTGATCTCATCCAGAAGTAAGAAGTTTGTATAACTCAACATCTGATACATGTCCCTGCTCTTTCTTGGATTTCTTATTCCCAGTGTCTTTCTTTCCGAATTCTCAGTGCTGGTGCCAAAATCATATTGAACATCTGCCTCTCTATTTTTCACTCTTAAAAAAAAAATTCAGCCTGAGACGCCCTCCTACTTACATCCCAAAGCCCTATTTCACATTTCCTCTATATCTGCACCCTTTTCCTTCTCCATCTTTGTCCTTGTTTCTAAGGTCCATCCGATGTCACCGAACTCCTTCATTTCTTTGTTTCTGTCCATTTATTTTCATTTCCTTAAATGTACCCATTCTACCCTTTCTGACAAAGGTTCTGAAGTTTGCATTCTAAACCAATGTACTCAAGTGTGCAAAAGGGAAAATGATACTTAGAGAGGTCAGAGGGCTTGTCAAGGTTGCACAAGGCAATCCAAATGCTTGTTATGGAACTCTCATTAGGGTTCAGTGTGGCGTTGTCAAAGGACTTCATGGAAGTGTTTCTGTTTAAGGTGGGTGGGATGTGTGTGGTAGACACTGAGAGGTTCTGGGGACCATGAAACACGCCCTTCACAGAGAGAGAGAGGAGTCAAACTTACTGACAGAAGGATCCATTGTTTGTCCCATAACCATTTGTCCTTAAGGAAGAACACCTTAAATTGTGAGTCTACTCAATCCTGAGGAAGCTTTCTGCTGTGTGAGAGTGTAGGTCTGAGGCATCCCTGAGAGCAGTGTTGTGTCTTTCCCGCTTCTGAACGGCAAATCTGATGTCTCACCTTCCCACTTGTGTGCTAAATCATATGAGCTAGTTAGAGGAGAACAGAGAGAATGACAGAACTGGCTGGACTTGAGGTAATTGTGTTACATTTTTTTAGATTGGTCCTCCTCCGTCTCTGAATGGACTTGAAGAAAGAGGATCTAATGTAGTGTGCTTTCCCAACTACATGTGAGCCACACAACCATGGAGGAAAAATTGAGCATCTGTCCTAAATATGTGCATACTTTTTCTCATTAGTCCCTAAAAAAAAGGAGTATAGCAACTGTTTAATAGCATTTACACCAAATAATGAATTATTAGTCACCCAAAGCTGATTTAACATATACAAGAGGCTGTACAAAGGTTGTGTGGGTATGGTGCACTGTTTTATATAAGGGACTTCAGCATTTGTGGTTTTAGGGTATCTGCCGTGGTTCAGGGGGCTGACTCCACAACTCACAGAGTGAGGGATGCCTGTTCCTTTTTCTGATGGGCTGTGGGATTTTCTAGAAGGAAAGGCAACATGAAAGCAACGGGTTATTTTTAGTGCTGGTACTTACCTTGCTTGATAAATCAGTCCGTCAGGCCCTCAATCATTTGGGATGGCTGTTCAGCTCCCCATGACCTGTCAACATGCTCCCAGCCAGGAGAAAAAAGCAGTATCTGTATTCCAAGGCATGTCTTGTCTCTTTTCTACAGGGAGCGGCTGCCATTCTGATGCTCCCCTGAGAACACAGCCCAAAATTGCCTATGCTCAAGGCTGCCACTGCCTTTCCTCTGAGGCCCCGCTTTAATTTGCCCTCTTCCATCATTCTGGTCTCTTGATGCCATGAAAATGCCTCCTACCCACAGAGCATCTGTGTTTGGACAAACTTCTCCTCTGCCTTCTCTGTCTTTCAGACAGCAATGAACTTGTCTACTTCCTGCCTGGAAGCCATCTCCGTTCAGCAGGTCCTTGGACCGTGTTTTTCTGACCTTGTTGGTATTCAGTGCTTTCCCCGGGTTATTGGCATATGTTCCTGAGTGTTGGAGAGGGTGGGAAGCAGTAAAAGAAATAAGGACAGGTTGTGCCATTAGGGTGGGAAGAACTGGCGGGAAGGATGTTGCAGATTCCCAACTAAGACCCTGGAAATGTCCCTGACCCTTTGTTTTCCAATGAGTTCCTCTTCCTCTTCTCGCTTCCTGTTTTAAGATAGGGTTGCATACACATCAAAGAACTCATTAAACATACATGAATGAATGGAGATGTTAATGAATAATTTGATTTCCTGGAGCAATGATATGAGGCCAGTGAAAAGTACAGATGTCAGGCAACATAAAAAGCACAAAGCTAAGAATCAAGAGATGTGAGTTCCAGGCTTGGGTTTTCTGCAGAGCGACCTGGAAGGGAGTCTTTTACCAGCCCTGGGCACCAGCTTCTCATCTGTGTGATTAAAAATCTTGGTCAACATTTGCAAATCCAGATGTTTCAAACACAGGTTTCCTCTAAAAACCTTTTTGATGAGGTTAAACAATACAGGCATACAAAGGGTATGAGACTGTGTGTGTGTGTGTGTGTGTGTGTGTGTGTGTGTGTGTGTATGGGAAGGACTTGACACCTACCACCTAGCAGGAGCTGCTTCCAGCATGCTAGTAATATGATTTTAACAGCCTTCAGTTTAGCAAATGGATGATAGAGAATCACAATAATCCTTTCATAAGAATCTGTGTTTCAAAAGTAGTGTACCTGTGATCCTGACACATTGTTTTATTCTAAGGTGACTCTTTTTTATTGTTTTTATGTGTGCTAAGATATGTGAGTTTCTCATCACTAGGATAAAAACCTTTGACAGGGACACCTTAAAGAAAGAAAGGATCATTTTGGTCCAGGGTCTTAGAGATCCCAGTCCATGGCCAGCTGGGTCCCTTACTATGGGACTGAGGCCAAGATAGGGGAGCACATTTCTTACTTTGTGCTGAGAGTAATAGGTTTACTTATAGAGCACACTGGATGTCACAGGCAAAGGGAGGTGATCCTTCTGAACCTATTGAAGACAGCTGTGGGCAGGTCTTGAGGGATTATCTGAAATATCTATAAGAAAAATCATCTAAAAGTCTTCTGAATCCATCAAGGCTGAAGCACAGTCTGGGAGCCATTACAGGGTGTGTGGGGTGCCTATGATAGTGCAATGAATCTTGTAGCTGGAACACACAAGTTCCCTTGGGACAACAATGACTGTTTAGATCTCTTGCCTGACATCAGTGTGATGTGGAATGTCCTTCTGTCTGTGTGCTGCTTTTATTTGTTTATGAATAAAGCTGTTTTGGCCAATGACTTGGCAGAGTAAAGCCAAGTGGAAAATCCAAACAGAGAGAGAGAGTAGGTGGAGTCAAAAAGATGCCATGTGGCCACCGAAGGAGAAAGATGCTAGAACATTACTGGTAAGCCACAGCCTTGTGGCGATACATAGGTCTTATAACTTATATTAACCCATTATTCTCATCTATGTTAGCCATAATGGCTCCATACCTTTCTCAGCTGGGCAAGATACATGCTGCCTCTTCAGTGGTCTGCGCAGGAGTGGTGGAGGGACCTTCCTCAACCGTAGCCTTATTCTATTCTCATTGCCCTGCCTCTACTTCCTGTCTGGTTGACCCACCTATACTTCCTGCCTGGCCAATCAGCGTTTTATTAAAATATGATTGACAGAATACAGACAATTCTCCCACACCACATAGGTTAATAGAAATAGGTTAATTTAAGATGTAAGGAATATACCTAAACCATTGGCCAAATATAGTTTCTGTGTGATTATTAGGTTCTGGGCAGTCAGGAAACAAAAGTGCAATCTCCATAGGCATTATCAGTGGGCTAGACTGGAGTCCGCATAATTTGCCAACAGATTTTATATTTCTCATGTTCACTTTTTTTCCTTTCCTTTCCTTTTTACCCTTCTGCTGAGGATTGAACCCAAGGATTTGAAGATAGTGTTTTACTGATCTATTCCTCTAGCCTTTGGTTATTGTTTGTCTTGTTTTTGAGACTGAGTCTGTGCAGGCTGGACTCCAACTTGAGGCAGTCCTCCTCCCTCTGCTTCCCAAATGCTGGCACCATAGCTGTGCACCACCACACCCAGCTTCTTGGCCCTTGTGTTTTTGAGACAAAGTCTTCCTATTACACTCAAGCCTGCTTAAATGTGCTGTGTCACCCAAGATGACCTTGTTCTTGTGATCCTCCTCTCTCAGCCCTCCAAGTGTTCGGGTTATAGTTGTGTGCCACTATCCCGGGCAATCTTATAATCAGCCTAGATCATGGGTTCAGTGCAAATAGTGGGTGTGAAGTTGTGATTGTCACAGGCCCAGGGGCCTTTAGAAATTACAAAAGTCTAGTTTACAGTCTTTGACTTGGGAACCAAGAAGATAACAGCAAAGTTTCAGATCTGTTCACCATCTCTTTCTGTATGAGGCAGTTACCTGGGTCTACTGTCCATTGGCCAGACATGGAAGAACAGTGCATCAGTATTCAATCCGTCAGTCTGTACCTGACAGCCTTCATCACTGGAAACTCTAACAGGGAGTAACCTTATTTACATTCATTCACTATATAACCCCCATCAGGTATACTTACAGAGCAAGACTGTGTCCTTTAGACAACGTGACTGGATCCTCCTGTCTTACCACCATTCGCATTAGAAACAATAAGAAAAGCAGCATTGGCCTTTCCACCAGATCCCCTGGATGAGCATCTCTGGGATTAGGTCTGGCATCTTTCCTGCTGTCTGTTGTTGTGGGGTTCAGGTGTTTATTTGCAATGCGTAGTTTAAAACTTGACTCCAGATCTCCTTGGTTTACAGAGCTGAACTTGAGTAGAGCTGCCATCCCATGTGTAATGAGAATAATATAAGTATTTTTGTTTTGTTTTGTTTTTTGAGACAGAGTTTCTATGTGTAGCCCTGGCTGCTCTAGAACTAGTTCTGTAGTCTAGGCTAGCCTTGAATTCATAGAGATCCTTCTGCCTCTGCCTCCCCAGTGCTGAGATTAAAGGTATGTGCCACCATGCTGGGCTGATAAATATCCTCTTAAAGATAATCTTTCTGTTAACACTCTTTAAATGATTTTGCAGATTATATGAATCATTATTTAGATCCAGTTTTGTTCTCTTAAACTAATAAAAATTTGTAACGCTTCATTAGACCATTAAAAACTCTGCTACATCAAAACCAGTCAATCTTTCAAATGTAGAATCAAGGCCTTGTAGTGACTGAGCCCAAAGTTCAAGCCCATAGACTAGTTTTTGTTATCTGCCTGTGGCAAGAGTATTAAAGCTAATGGAGGAAAAATTAATTCCTCAGGAATCCTCATAGACTCTGCAGATGAGATCTGGCATCTGCTCTGTTCTAGGTCTCAATGGTGGTTCTGAGATTTCTTATAACTGAACCCTATAGGCCACTGAGTGGTGCAGCAGTGTCAGGACCATTGCTCTAGGGCCTTTGTCTCTCAAGTTCTCATTTCACATGTACAGGAGCTGGGACTGAGAGAAGTTGGGTACCCTAGACAACAGAAGCTCATTGCCCTCCTCACTGGGTTTGACTGAGTCATATTGTTGTGGAATATTATTTTAAGATGTGTTACATTTGTTTATACTGTGAAACAATTGTTTTAATGATAGAAAAATGTGTTGCATTCTTTTTTTTTCTCAGTAGTCTTAGCTGTCCTGCAACTCACTCTGTAGACCAGACTGGTCTCAAACTCACAGAGATCCACCTGCCTCTACCTCCCGAGTGCTGGGA